GGCAGGGGGGGGGGTGGTTTGTTTGTGTATGTGTTTAAGGCAAAGAGAGAGAAAGAGAGCGAGAGAGATCTTCCATCCACTGAAGCACAGTTCACTATGATCGTACTCGCATTCAGCACTGGAAGCCGGTTGGATTTCGTGTCTCAGTCCAGGGTGTTTTTCTTGCAAACCTTCCTTTGGATTTTATGTGCTACAGTGTGCAAAGCGGAGCAGTATTTCAATGTGGAGGTAAGATCAGCCGTTTGCGTGTGCGAGCCTCTCCCTCTACCCCCTTCCCTGCGTCTTATATCCCCTCAATAAAATCAAACAGCCAACCAGCCATGTCTTCTAGCAGCCAAGGCATACGCCTGTGCTGGCTTTCTCTCCAGCAGCCGGTAGCTAGCTCCCCTCCCTGAGTTCCCCCACTTGATGGGTGCGTTTCAGCCGGAGATCCCGTTACCGGCGGCAGCACAAAGCGGGATGCTGAGGGCGGGAGCGCAGCCCCAGCCTCCCCTGCCCTGCCCTCCTCAGCCCGGGCGCCGAGGAAAGCTGGGGCGTCGGGGGTACCCCCAGCTCAGGGCAGGCTCTGTATATATTTATTATTATTTTTTTTTTGAGAGAAGAATGAATGAGCGTTCTGGGATCAGGAGGAAGGAAGCTTGAGATTTTGGCAGGTTTCTTTGTGTGTAGAGTATTTAACAAAAAAAAAAAAAAAAGACAAACCCTTTTACCCATTTAAACATAGCGAAAAGAGTTGCCATTAGAAACAGTGAAACAGGCGACATAAAGGTGCAACTACAGCACAAAAAGTTGGAGGGTGTGGAGGACCAGGAAATAGAATTTTTCCAAGTGGAAAAGAAGATGAAAGAGTGGGGATACCTATGTGGGACAAATCCTAAGAGTTTACAGTGACAATGAGAATTCAGCGGACATCCATTTCCAGTCAAGTCTTCTATATACTTCCCAGTATCCTATTTGATTCTTTTTTTTTAATTAATGGTCTTTTACTGACTTTATCATCTCTGCAGATACTCTTTCCTCCTTTTTTCCCCTTCTGTCATTTCATTTGTCCTGGTGTGAGCCCTTTTTCTTAATCTGTTTCAATGTGATGTATTTCTCTCTTCCTTTTCCCTGACTATTCAGCTTCCTAATCTTTCCTGTTACGTGTCACTTTAATTTACATGGGCTTTTTCATTTTCTAGTACATAATTCTGGTTTTCTGTTAGATCCCTGTATTCCTTCATCCGTGTCTTTCCTGCCCACTCCAAACTTCCTGCTGCACTCTTATCACCCTCACAAATTCTTATTTGTAGTCTCCTTTGTCTCTCGTGTTCGCACAATTCTTTCTCAGAGAACTGAAGTCTATGTCTTTTCCTCTGTCTCACACATATGCACACTTGATTGTTTTCACTCAGTGACACTCTTGCAACTGTCTCTGGCAAGATTGCTCCCACAGATGCTCCTCCATCCCCAGACTGTCTTCCTTTTTGTCTGAACTTCTTACCTGTACTGCTTCTCCCTCTGCCTTGTATGAGATCACCTGAAATGTATTAAAAATCACTTCTTCCCCATGTCAGCTTTCATTCTAGTCTCTCCCTTCCTACAGGCAGTTTCACTCACCACATACAAGCCTCTTCTCAGCTTAACCTACATCTATAGCTTCTTTTGACTTGAATCTCTCCAGAAAGTATTGCCTTTTTGCTCCATCGTTAAGAAATCTTCTGATTAGAAATCCTAGTTCTTTTTTCTGTCGTCTACATTCTAGTCACTCTTTTTTCATTCCTTATCACAAATGTATATCTCTGCTTCTGTTTGATTGTAAGGTTTTGAGGCAGGTCTCGTGTCGTCTTACACGTTTATGTGGTGTGCACCATGCTCTGGAGTACAAGTGTGAGACTTTTCCGATACAAATATTAAAGGTTGCAAATTTCAGAGTGCACTTTGAAGCGTTATCCTTCTTTTGCTCCTGTCCTCAGCTGCCTTCTTTACTGATGAGCAAGGGAAGGCAGCGTGGAAGAGAGGAAGTTGCTCTCTGTCTTCTCTCCAGGCTTCACAGGCTGGCCCCCTGCAGGGTAGAGGGAAGAAATTCCAGCGACAGAACTTTACCCTCCCACAGTAGTCTGCTTTGCTGGCATCTGGCTCTGCTGGAGAGACGGGCGGCAGATGGAGCTAGTGTGGGAGGAGAAAAAAATTGGTTTTGTCAAGTGGAATATGAACAGGAGGCCAACTCCAGTCAGAAGGAGGTTTTATGAGGAAAGAATGGGAAACACTTTCATTTTTGCCACCTCTTCCATATGGAAAACAGCACATTTTTAGGGCAAAGGCAATATGAGGAGCAAGAAACACTGTTGGGTGGAATGAAGTAGTGTGTGTGTGAGAGATGAGGGCACATATTGCTCCCTGTTGAAGTATACCATCTCCTGTTCTTCTGAAACAAAATATGTTGTCATATGCCAGTGCTCCCAGTCTCCTTTCATATTTAAGTCTTTGAGCCACATATTGCAAGGAGCCAGGAGAGCGTTCCAGGGCATTACTCTACTATTTAAGAACTGTCCCAAAATACAGGACTTTTCCCTAAGGCACTGTCTTTGACCACTGTCAGTGGCATGGTCATGGGCTAAATAGACCTGGTATTTTCCCCACACAGCCGCTGTCATGCTCGCATCGTTTGGATAGTGCTGAAAATTCAAGTTTTGTTTGTTTGGAACTGCAAAGGCTAAAAGCATGGGAAAATTGAGGCAAGGGAGTTGGCAACAGCATGTATTGTGCTGTACAAGCCTCTGTGTGAGCACAAGTGTCTAAAATGGTTGTACTTGATAGTAAATTGTGAAAATATGACAAATACTTCTTATAATATTAAGAATAAATATGTAAAATAGAGTTCAGGAAAGAAGTGGTATATGTTTAATTGAATGAAATGTCACTGAACAGGTTGCAAAGGATGGTTGCAAAGCAGATTTTTTCCCCCCTTCTTTGTTGTCTCCAAATAAAGAGTGTTAATGCCTGTTGAACATCATATATTGCAGTGATCATTTATTTCCTTTTGCTATCCTGTCTCATTTAAATCACATTCCTGATTTATAAGCAAAATCTTTGTAGTAGTGTTAGATTTTTTTTTTTTTGTTTCAATGTGGGTTTGTTAGGCTGTGAACCAGAGCAATTTTTAGGAAATAGTACTGTAGCTCAAAGGTATTTAATAATGTTATCTTTTCAGAGAAAAACACAAAGCTGAAGTTTTTACAAGCTTGTATGAGCATTGCTGTTCTTTAGAATTTTGTTGTCCCTCAATAAAAGTTCTTTTTAGCCAAACATTTATATGGATTAAGTCCTCAAGCTTCTAAAGATAACCAAATTGTCAATTCTGAAAAGTATTTGTTTAGGTAGTGTTTAATATAATAGACATATGTGAGTAGGATTCAGATTATGGAATATAGGACTCTGAAGGGCCACATGTGCACTCTTGAGTCAGTGAGAACTTTGTGATAAAGCTGTGTAGCTTAAGATGTACATAGTTTGATGGATAGGAAGATCTTAGCATTAATTTTCCAAGCTTACTGATTACCAGTGCCATTTTTGCGGGACATTGTGTCTGACATGATGAAAAAAACTAAGGACTACACTGTTAGCTGGCTCTTCTCAGTGCTGAGCTATTGGTCCAAAACAGTAACATCAATGAGTAAGTCTATGTGTGAAGAGTATGTCCATCAGTGCGGAGTTTTTCAACCATTTATGTATACTAGCAAAGGGAAATAATTCATAACTGAGATAGTAAATGTAATAATGAATATTAAAATAACATTTTGCATGTAAAATGGAAACAAGCACACACAAGAAAAGTTGTTACTAAAAACTGATAGAGCAATCAACTCCTTCCCCCCTCCCAAGGTTCCTCACTATAGTAGTAATACCTTTTTTTTTTCTCAAAGATAAACTTTGTGTGTTATTGGAAGTGCGTGTATATGGTCTTTCACAAGAATCCTCCATATAAACGATATATACATGCATTTATATATTTTACTAAAACAAATAATTTTGTACTGTTTGTGCTGGTATTATACTGTGAATTTGTCTTCTATTGTTATCCATTAGTTTTTTATATATTTAAGTAATAGGTATATTTATATTTAATTTACTATAAAATACTAAATATAAAAATAGATAATGTTACAATTTTGTTAAGGAAAAAATGTTTTTTAAATTATAATAATTTGGTCAGAAGACAGAATCAACATGAATCTAGAATAAGATTGACTTCTGGATTCTAATACTGCCTACTCTTACTCCTGTGAGCAACTGTACCAGCTGAGTATCTGTATAAATCCCATTGAGCAAAGAAGTGTTTTTAGAATCGCACCTAGTTTCATTGACTATATCTGTGATGTGGGAGATACTAGAGAAAAGCATGCTTTATCATCTTTCCTCAAGCTGCCAATTACGCTCTATTTTCCTTCTTCTAATGATAAATATGTAGAGCTGTATCCCTAGGGGGGGATCTTAAAATTACTCTTTTCTCTCCTCACATTTTCAGAGGTGGGACAGTTAAATTCCACATTGTGGTACAAAATACAGTAGAAACCAAACTTCAAAAACAAATCCATCAGTTTTCTTCATGCTAATAAGTGGTTGAGAACCCTGTGGTTTTCATTGTTAATAAACTTAGCCTGCAGCTCCTGCTGAATGGTACTGTGTGACCTTTTCTTCCATAGGCTTTGGCTCTTTTAAGCTTAAAAACAGAGGACCTTAATTCTTCTGCTGGCAATTGAGAAGGAATACACATTTGGGAGGAAAAAAAATCCTCCAAAAATAGCTTTACACAATTTTCTACTAGTGGGCTTGGTTGTCAGGTTTGCAAGCACAGCAAGTGTTAAAATTGGTTTGTTAAAATGCAAGCTCAAATCTGTGGAGATTCTGTTGAGATGATTTTTGGTGTAAATAGTGCCATGTGTCCTAAAAGGAATCTGCAGCCTCTTCTGCATTGTTTTAAGTTTCGATCAGTATACATGAATCTCACTCTTGCAGAAGGTAACAACTAAATGAATTGGATTTTTGTGAGAACAAGAAGTTCTAACTGAAATTATTAGAAGGATGGAGAGGAGTTACTGAATCAGGTAGTGGAGGTGGTTAGTGGTTAAAATATCAGTCAATAAAAATACAATATTCCCTATTTGATTATGGAGGAAATACAGATAAATAGAAAACCTTCTGTAAAGGGTTCTGATGAGCTGGTATATGTAGATAAGAAAAATAAT